TAAAGGGGCCGGCCTGGTGGCATAGTGGTTAAGTTCGCACACTCCACTCTGGCAACCCAGGGTTCACTGGTTCAGGTCCTGGGCGCAGACCTACACACCGCTCATCAAGCCATGCTGTGGCGGCATCCCACATACAAAATGGAGGACGAGTGGCACAGATGTTAGCTCAGTGACAATGTTCCTCAAGCAAAAAGAGGAAGATTGGCAACAGATGTTAGCTCAGGGCCAATCTTCCTCACAAAAAAAAAGTCACTAGAGTTAAAATTTTTAAGACAGTGTTTGTCTGAAAATTTCTTTATTCAATTCATACATATATATGCTAGTTTGGGTCATAAAATGTGAAGTTGAAAATCATTTTTATGAAAGAAAATCATTTTTAAGGCAGTGCTCCCTGTATTCTAATTTTTGGTAATGCTCTTGAGAAGTTCCATGCCATTTTGCTTCCCTCCTTCTCTTTCTCTGAGGTTCTGAAATGTCAGGTCATGCCTTTCACGTGTCATTATGTGTTGTGCTGTGGGGTGGAGATGTTCATCCTTCAGTTCCAGAAGATTTTGTTTCTTAAGTGATTTCCTCCTATTTTCTCTCTTCTCTCTGAAATTCTAATTAAGGACCAGCATCTGATAAATTCCAGAGAGAACAGGATTGATCCTCTGATTTTCTTCTCTCTTCTTCTCTCTTCTCTCATTTTGTCTTTTTCTTCTATTTTCTAAGAGATTTTTATCTTTCACCTCTTCTCTGAAATTGTTTTAAAAATTCCATTATTTTAATTCTCAACTCTTTTTTGGTTTCTGTTCAATGTTTAATTATGGTATCTTTTCAAGGACATAGTTGAGTTCAACAACACTATCAATCAACTGGATATGACTGACATCTATAGACTGTTTCAACAACAACACAATACACATTTTTCCCAAGCTCACATGGAACATTCACCAAGATAGACCACTTGGGCCATAGAAAACACCTTAACAGAACAGAAATCTTACAGTGTATGCTCTCAGACCAAAATGGAATTAAACTAGAAATCAGTAACAGATAATTGGGAAAAGTCCAAAATACTTCGAGATTAAACAACACATGGGTCAAAGAAGAAATCTCAAGAGAAATTTAAAGAATATTTTGAACTAAATGAAAATGAAAACACAACTTATCAAAATTTGTGGGATGTATTGAAAGTAGTGCTTAGAGGGAAATTTACAGCAGTGAACTCATATATTAGAAAGGAAGGAAGATCTAAAATCAATAATCTAGGTTTCCACCTTACGAAACTAGAAAAAGAAGAGCAAATTAAATCCAAAATAAGTGGAAGAAAAGAAATAAAAAGAATTAGAGCAGAAGTCAATGAAACTGAAAAGAGGAAATCAGTAGAGAAAATCAACAAAACCAAAAGCTGGTTCTTTGAAATCTCACCAGAACCAGCAATAGCAATTGCCTAACTCTAAGCCTACTCCAAGCTGGGCAGAAGGGGGAAAAACCTCTCCTGAGAATTTTTAACCACAAGCCAGCCTGAATAAGTTTGCAGCCTGAATTAACAACACCTAGGTGGTCCAAAAGACTCCTAGCTGAAAATTTAAAGTGTTGCAGGATTGGTTGCTCCTCAGGCAGCTGATAAGCACATTTCCTCTCTGGAGGAAATTACTTTTAACCCAATCTCAAAAAATCTGCATTGATAAAATTCTGAGAAATATGAACTCACAGTCACAACTTAAAAATTGCAAGAAAATAAGGCATTGTGAGCAAAGGCCGACATAAACAATAGCCTGCAGAGTCAGGCCTCAAAGACTTGAGATACTGGAATTACCAAACGGAATATAAAATATGTTTTCAATATATTTAAAGAAATAAAATATAAGTAGAGAGCAGGAGAGTATATAAAATGATCAAGCAAATTTGTCATAGAACTTCTCGAAATGAAGAATAAATATTTGACATGTAAAATTCAATGGATGAGTTGGTACAATCACTTAAAAAAAAAAGCACAGCTCAATAGATTGATTTAGCAGCTGAAGAAAGACTGGAAGATAGATCTGCAGAAATTATCCAGAATGCCGGAAATAGGAAATATGAGCTATTAAAACACAAGGAGGATGGAGTAGGGAGGTCTACAGAGTTCCATTAGGGACAAAGAAAATATCTGAAGATATGACTGATGAAAGACACCAATTCATAGAATTAGGAAACCTAAGAAATATTATTAGGATAAATACAAAGAAAACCACACTTAATCACATCACAGTAAAACTGCAGAAAACCAAAGACAAAATATCTTAAAAGCAGCTGGAGACAGAAAGTATCTTCAAAGGAACAATAACAACAAAAAATAGATGACAGCTAACAGCAACAATGGAGACCAAAAGAATAATATTTTCAATATATTGAGAGGAAATAACTATTAACCTAGAATTCTGTACCCAGCAAACAATAGCTTTAAATAAAAAGGGTAAAAAACAACAACAAAAAACTAGAAAAGGTGGGACAAATTTTAGAAAGCACAAAATAAGGTGGTAGAAATATATCCAAGTACGTTAACTACAATAAATAGAAATGACTAAATGCTTCAATTAGAAGACAAAGTGTTATCTAGATTTTAAAAATCCATCTATAGGCTGTTCTTAAGAGACAGAAATTGACTGAAACTACAAGGATAAAAACGGTTAACATATTTGGATTAGAAGGGACCTTTCTCAGCCTAGTAAAGGGCATCTCTTTATATATATTTTTAAAACCCACAAACATATTTTATGGTGAAATATTGAAATTATTCCCTCTAAGGTCAGAAACAAGTCAAGGGTGGCCACTATCATTCCTCCACCCGTACAGCAGGGGCAAGAAAAATAAGAGATATAAACAATTAAAAAGGGAAAACAAAACTGTCTTTCCATAGATTATATACAATACAGAAAACTCAGAAGAATTTACAACTAAATTATAAGTTTTAGATTTGCTGGACACAAAAAGCTATTTTCATAAACCATGTACAATAGCATAACAATGTCAAATACTTAAGAATAAATCTAACCAAGAAAAAAGGTATTATCTTTATGAGAAAAAGTATATAACTATTGAAAATGTTAAATGGAAAGATATACCATGTTCATGAACTGGAAAATTCTATTTCATGTAGATGTCAATTTTCCCCAGACTGATCTATAGATTCAATTGGGTTCCATGCACAATCTCAAAGGGGTTTTTATTGGTGGAACTTGACAAGCTGATTCTAAAATTTATATGGAAAAGCAAAGGCCAAGAATAGATCTTAGGGGATCATACACAGGGTAGATAAAATGACCAGTGGAACAAAATAGAAAAATAAATTGTGATGTATTTGATGGATCACTATACAGCAAGGAAAAGGAATGCCCTACAGCTACACACATTAATTTAGATAAATCTCAGAAACATAATATTGAGTAAAAAAGCAATCACGGAAGAATAAACACAGTATGGTTCCATTTATACAAAATTCAAAAACATGCAAAACTAATACAAACATATGTAATAAAATGACAGAGCAAGGGGATGATTAAGACAGCACCTGTTCCCTCTACCAGGGAGGAGCACAGCAGAGACTTCAAAGGAATTTCTTCAGTGGGGCTGGGGAGGGTGTTGTTTCTCTTTATTTTATAAATACTTTCTTTCTTCTTCCCACTATTTAATAAAGAAACAAGAAAAGATATTCTGGAGGGTGAGGTAAAGCCGAGGAGGAAACAGGAAGTCTGCCGATGCTGATGTACGACACAAAGCCCCAGGCACACCAAGTTCCTGATGGAGCTAAAAAATAGTAATAGAATGTGCCATTTGGAAAAACAAAAAAGTCCTAGCGGCTCAAACCTCTGTGGGCCTGGGCAGGGCCTGTGAGAAGGGTGGGCTTCTCCAAGGGTTCTTGAAGGGCAAGGCTGCCACGTCACTGGAAGGCCCTCCCCACCAGCAGCATTGTAGACTTTCACTTAACCCCATTTTTGGTCCAGCCCCTCACCTCCACCCTCGCCAGTGGCCCCGAGACCCAAAGCTTCTTTGAATAGCCCCCACCTCTACCTCAGAGGCGCAGCTGTTTGGCTGCAAGGGGTGGGGTGGGCCCCGGGGGAGGGGCAGCCTGGCTGCTCCTATCTTTGGGTCTGTCCCTACTGTCAGCCCGGAACCTGGCCTTCCTGGTGCTGGTGGGACTCCTGAGCCTCTCAGGGCTCTGGGGGGCAATCTGGCTGCCTGGGCCCCTCCCTCTGGGAACGCTTGTTTTCAATTCCAATTCTCTGCTAAGAGAGGAAATGAGCCTCTGTCCACATTCCATCTTTCAAGATGTCAGGCTCTTTGATCGACTGCTATTTCCCTCCTATTTTCTTTTTCTCTGTAAATTTATATCTTTTTTATTTCTTTACTGTCATTTTTTATTTTAAGAGGAAGCATAAACCCATGTGTTTAAACCTGCCACATTTAACTGGAATTCTGTTTACTAGATTTGAGTTAAAATGACTAATGAGTGGCTCTTGAAGAGTCCAGGAAGAGGAGCTTAGCCCTTCAGCACCCTCCTTCACAGATGCCTGAGCACCCCGCTTGCTTTCTCCGCCTCGATTGTTCTGCTCACTTCCCTCGGCTGTGCAGGGGTGAAGGAAGCGCAAAGGTCTGGGTTCAGATCCTGCGCCTGCACACACTGCCCCGTGAGCTTATCACATCTGCCCTCAGCCCTTCCAGTTCTTCACCCGCCTAACTGCTGCCCAGTACAGCAGGCTAGCTAGAGGAGGTTCCAGAACGTTGTTGTTCTAGAAATGCTTGTAACTATAAAGCACTGAACCTGGGAAAGCATTTGGATTCTCAAACCCTGGATCGCTACCCGCCACCTTGGCCCACTGGTGTCCCCGACCCCACCCCGCCACGGCCCCAGGAGGCAGAGCCCTGGCCCCTCACACCCTCAGGCATTGTGTGGTTCCCAGGCCTGACGATCAGAGGGACCAAAACAGCAGCACAGGCAACAGTGAGGGACGAGAGACCCACAAAGATGCAGGGAGTCCAAAACCAAGTGGGCGCTTTATTAACTTGGCAAAGGGGCAGCTAGGCTGGCTGAGCAGCCCCTTGCCAGAGCCTCCACTGTACTTGGGGGCCACCAACAGAGGCAGAGTCACAGGGTCCAAGCCCTGGACACCAGGAGTCCAAGCTGGACAGGGGCAAGGGGAAGGATGGGGCTGGAGTTGCCGAAAGCAGGTGTTACATACCAACCCTCTCCTCTCCTAAGGCTGGGGCTGGGCCTGAAATGAGTTATGAGCCCCCTCTCCTGCTTTCCCCGCTCCCTGTACAGCTCTGGCTCTCCCTGGAGTCAGGAAGCCATGAGTCCCACATCAGCTGTGGTCTGGAAGGTGATCCCGTCCCCAGGCAATGGGGAGGCCAGGAAGGGCCAGAGCCAGACGAGGACCCAGCGGGGCCCCAGGGCCGCCTGCAGGTTGTGGTAGGGGCCCAGGTCATAAGAGTGCTGGCCCCGAGCCCACTCCCATGTGGTCTGGCCCCGCAGCAGCAGCATCCCATGGAAGAGCAGGCCAGCCCCGCACAACAGCGCACCCGCGACACATGTGTCGGTCACGAAGGCCAGGGCGAACTGCGCCAGAGACACTCTGCCTGCGAGGAAAGAGCAGAGAGGGTCAGGGTGCAGCAGCAGGCCCAGCCCTCCCAACGCCCAGCTCCTGCCTCCTTCCACCCATCCCTACCCTCCACCACGAAGCAGGCCCCATTCCTCCACTCAGCAAGCACCAAGTCACTATTCCCTGGTCAGCCCGGGCTGGGTGGTGAGAACACACTGGTGGACCGGGCAGACACAGCCCGCTGCCCTAGATATGACTTTAATTCATGCATCACAAATTTGCGAGCACCTCCCAAGCGCTGGACACAGTGCCAGGCACTGGTGAATACCAGGATTAACAGTAGATAGCATCTCTGACCTCGGAGCTCACAGACAGACAGTCAAGAGACCATTTCTCAGTTACTTAATTACAGCTGTGATGTGTGTTACAATGGAAAAGTACAGTGTCTTCTACCATCCTGGCCCACAGTGGGTAATAAGTATCTGCTGAACTAATGAACTACAAGATGCCATGGAACGTTATCCAAAAGGACACGTATAGTATGATGCTCTTTATATGAAATGCCCCAAACAGGCAAATCCACAGAGAGTAGAGGAGTGGTTGCCAGGAGCTGGGGGAATGGGGAGTGACTGCTTAACAGGTACGCGGTGTCTTATTGGCATAATGAGAACATTCTAGAATGAGATGGTGGTGATGGTTGCACAACATTGTGAATGTACTAAATGCCACTGAATTGTACACTTGCAAACGGTTAACATGATGAATTTCATGTTATGTGAATTTTACGTCCATAAAAAAGAGAGCCTATGGGGAGGGAAATGCCATGAACGCTTACTAAAGGCTAACTAAGGGAAGTGGACCTCATCTATTTTGATAAAGTGACATTTTGAGTGGTGCCTGAAGAAGGTTAAGGAGGTATTTGCTAGGTGAAGAGGGGAGAAAACATTCTGCTTGAAGGTCCCGAGACGGGACAGAGAGTTGCCTGCAAGACGAGTGAGAGGACAGTTCTGGAAGCTCAGGAGAGAAGCCCAGGCTGGACATGCAGATCTGCGGGCAGTCAGTACACAGGCGGTTCCGAGACCCCCGCGAGCATGCAGAGTGAGATGAGAACGGCGCTTCGACCTCAGCACCAGGAAACCAGGTCCTTAGGGACCAGATAAAGAAGAGAAAGGGAACCAGAGAGGAAGGGCTGTCGGTGACGCCCGGGGTAGAGCCCTTCCAGGAGGCTGAAAGGTGTTGTGAAGCAAGGAGAGAACTCAGAAGGGTCCTTTGGGTTTTGTGGAGACAGACGCCTGGGGACCACAGCAGTCTCAGGGGAGTGGTGAGAAAGAAGCCAGTTTGGAGCAGGTGGAGGATGGGTGGGAGGTGAGGAAAAGCAGCCCGTGAGCCCAGGCAAGTCCTTCAGGAAGCTTGGCAGCTGACAGAAGAGCGAGAGGAGGCGGCTGTGGGGTGAAGAGGTTTGTATCAGGTGGGAAAACCCAAAGGCAGCCAGTAGAGGGAGCCTGGGGAGTCAGGAGAGGCCTAGGAGCAGGGAGGGGGTCAGACGCCCGGAGAAGCTGGGGGCAGGCAGCCTGGCTCGGAGATCTGAGGGCAGGACAATTCAGGGCGGCCCATCTGATGTCTTGTTTTCTCTGTGACGGACTTTCAAGAGGGGTAGGGGCTTGGAGGCCAGGAAAGTGGGAAGGTTTGAGCTACAATCACTCTGGGGAGCAAGCTTCTGAGAAGCCAGGACAGCCAGGCACGGCTGAGGGCCTGTGGAGGTCAGCAGCCATGAAATGTGGCATGGGACCAACCTGCCACAAAGTACCATGTGTCTGGCAGCTGTCAGCAGCCAGGGAGACACAGAGAAGCCAGGAAGGCACAGCAGGAGATGGAGAGAAGAGGTTTGAGGTATTGGTAGGAGAATGGTAGAAGTGAGCTGGATGTGGGGGCGATGAGAGGGAAGATGCTGACGGACAGAAAGGCGAGGGCCAGGAGCTCAGGGAACAGGTGTCATGGGGTAAAAGAGGAGAGAGAGACAGAAGGAGAGGAGGCAGGGAGCAGAGAGGGGCGACTGATGGGGTGGTTTGGGAGGTGAAACATTTTGGATTCTGACAGTAGGAGAAGGAAATAAAATGGAGGAGGAGGTCAAGAGGCTGGGCCATTGGGCACCGACTGGGCCATCTGCCCAGACTTTCAGATACCCGCGATCTCAACAGCGTCCAGGGCTCACAGAGACTGGGCACCCGAGCCCAAGTCTTCAGTGACCGAGGGGCGTGAGCGGAAGGCCGTGGATGACCACAGGGGCTGGGGGGCAGGGAGGGGCTTGACTTTCTGTGGAGGCCGGGGGTCCTGGAGGAGGGCTGCTCAGGAAGCCGGTGTGGGCAGAAGACACTGACAGTCCCACTGGGCCTCCCCAGGGCTGCAGGGAGGGGGGGCCTTGGGACAGAGCTGAGCCTGGATCAGATGAGGAGACACAGTGACCACTCAGAGTGGTCAGGGAGTTAAGTAAGTACAGGACAAGGTTACAGAGGGGACCGTGGAGAGGTCAGGAGAGAAAGCCCAAAGAGTTTCCGGGGGGGAGAGAACAGAGTTTAAAAGACCAGTGGGCGTTTATCTTGGGTGGTATCAGTGGAAAGAGGAATAAATGTGTCATCTAAAACATAGCCTCGCAACCAGCCTCCTGATGCAAGTCTTCCACTCCCAGCTGCCACAGACTGGACATTCCCTGCCTGCAACTTTCCCTGGCTCCCCACTGCCCAGCAGAGCAGGGGCCATCTCCTTATGCCAGCATCAAGGCCCTTCACCAGCCAGTCCTAACCCACCTCCCAGCCTTAGTTCTCACATTCCCATCAAATTGCCTTTGCTACTCCCTGCCCAACCCCTAAGCGCTGGTTCACACTGATTCTCCCAGCCAGAACTCTGTCCCTGTGTTGAGCCCCCGTATTTTACTGTACTGCGCACTCAGCTGAATGCCAGCTGCCCTCACCCCGATAAATGACACTGGGACTGGGTCCCAGGGTGTTGCCAGGAGAACCAGCGGGAATCCCATCTCCCACCAGAATGGCCCACTACAGGGCCTCCGCCACCCCGTGGAGGCGTCCCAGCTCCCCACCTGTGAGCAGCATGAGCCAGGGCAGCAGGAGGAGCGCGGCGGTGTGCAGGGGCGCGTGCGCACGCAGCAGGGCTGACAGGGCAGGGCCCAGCAGCACAGAGACGTGGAGCAGGACGCCAGCGGCATGCAGCAGCAGGCACAGGAAGGGCCGGTAGTTGCGGAAGCCCACGCAGCGGCCCAGCAGGCGGCAGTGGTGGTCCCGACGCAGGATGCAGACGCGGCAGGCGGAGCAATGCCCGCTGCGTGGCGGCACCTGGCTTTGGCACTGGTAGCAGTAACTGCAGGGAAGGAAGCAGAGGGTCAGTTCCTCCAGCGGCTCTGCGTGCCCCACATCATGCCCCGGGCAGCCCCTGAGCACACCCACCCTCACTAAGCCTCAGGGTCATCAGGGGTCAACGAAGGCTGGACCCCACTGCCCAGGCCCTTCCAGGTCTAGCCCTGAAGCTCTGAGGTCACTTCCAGCGCTGACATCCCCAGTCCTAAGGCCTTTGTCTGGCCTCTAACATCCAGGAGCAAACTTCTCACTTCCTCCACGGCCACCACCTTGGTTCAAGTCACCACGCACTCCCCCCTGAATTATTGCAACAGCCTCTTGACTGCTCTCCCTGACTGCACCTTTGTCCCCTCCTCTATAGTCTCACCAGCAGCCAGACTGATCCTTTTAAAATGGAAGTCAGTCCCTCCTCTGCTCAAAACCCTCCCGTGGCTCTCCATTTCACTTCTAGTAAAAAGCAAAGCCTTCAATGTCCTACAAGGTCTTTACATCTCTAACCTCTCTCCTCCCCGTCTCTCACTCCATGCCAGCCACACTGGCTTTCTTGATATTCCTGGAACAATCTAGACACACAACTGCTTCAGGGCCTTTGCACTATCTGTTCCCTCTGCCTGTAACACTCTTCCCCCAGATTCCCACATGGCTAACTCCCCCACCTCCTTCAAGTCTTTGCTCAGACGCCTCCTTCCAGGAGGTCAGGAATCTGTTTTATTGTACCTCCAGTACCTGGAACAGTACCTTGCACGTGGTGGGTGCTCAGTAAATATGTGTAAGTGAATGAATGATACTCCTTCTGGCCCCACCATCCTAGGTTCAAAAGGAGTTCACTGGCTCTAAGCGGATCCTATTGTAATCTGGTTCTAACATCCTCAGGTCCTAGGGCCCCTCCTCTTGTCCAAGACTCCCGCTTCTTCCTCCCCCCGCCCCTGCCAGATCCCCCACCCCACTCACGCCCAGCCCTGGCCCAGACCGCGGCCGGCCAGCATCACGCCCCGGATGCTGGGATCCGAGCGCAGGAAGAGCCCCACGTTGCCCAGCAGGTTGAGCAGCTGGAAGGCGGCCAGCGCGAGCTGCAAGGTCCGGGCCAGGGGTCCCAGGGGGGGCGGCCCGGGACCCAGCACCAGCACGTAGGCCAGCTCCAGGCCCACTGCCGCCGCCCACAGCGCGGTGAGCACGAGGGGCAGCCGCGCGGGCGCCCACTCCGCGCTCCCGGCCGCCCAAGGCTGCCCCATGGCCTGGACCCACCCGCGGTCGGCTCCCAGCTCCCAGCCGCTTCCGTATTGGGGCGGGGATAGTGGCAGACGGACGTCTGCTACGACCAATAGGAGCGCCGAAGGGATGCGGGGCGCCTTCTGCCTCACACGGAGCGGCCGGCAGATGCAGAGATGTGATTGGACGGCCGAATGAGCCAACGAGATGCTCGGAATCCTGTTGGCGCCAGCGCCCGGTAGGGCCGCGACGTCATAGCCCCGCCCGCCGGCGGAGGCCCCGCCCCGCTCGAGGGAGCCCTGCACGCCCAGCCGCTGGCGGGCGCCACGAGTTGAGTTGCAGTCTCTGTGGCGTCGGGGTTTCCCGGCTCAGCACATTCCCCCTCACCCCCCCGGCCGCCCCGATATTAATAGCCCTGCATCGCCCATCCAGCTGGCCTAGAGCCCCTCCCACTCTCGAGTGTCTCCCTTCATCTCCCCAGAAAACATTCAAAAGAGCTGGGTGCCTGGGGTTTCTGTGAAATGGGGATTGGGCTCCCTGTTTCCCACCAGCGAAGCGCAGTAATAGGGACAGGAGGAGGTCCAAAGGGCAGCTTCTAGAGAGGTCTGCAGCCACTATTATTATCATCATCTCCGTTGTAGACATGAGGAAACAGACTCAGAGAGGGCCAGTGGCTTTCCCAAGGTCACACAGCGCCCAGAGGCGGAGCCGGAACGCGAACCCCGAATCTCCGCCACGGGATCCATTCCAGTGCCCCCAGATTCTGCAGTCCTCTGGCCCCTGGGCAACCTCTCGCCTGGTCCAGACCCGAGCGCCCTCGCCCCGATCCGGCCCCTCCCTCCTCCCCCATATTTAGCGCGAATCCGATCCGGGGCTGGGCCGGGCGCTACTTAACGAGGCCCCCGTGTTCTGGAGAGCGCGGAGCTGGAGCCAGGAGCCTGAGCAAGATGATGATGGTTATGCAGCCCGAGGGTCTGGGGGTCGGGGAGGGGCACTTCGTGGGCGGCGGCGGCGGGGGCGGCGAGTATATGGAACAGGAGGAGGACTGGGACCGCGACCTGCTGTTGGACCCGGCCTGGGAGAAGCAGCAGCGGAAAGTGAGTGCTCACCCATTTCCAGATGGCAAAACTGAGGCCTGAGAAGCCGGGCGGTTTGTCCTTGGCATCTCAGCAGGTCAAGGGCAGAGCCTGTCTTGACCCAGAGTGTCTCTCCCTCGCCCAGGCTCTGCCCATCCGTCCTCTGCTGTCCCCCAGGGCTGGAAGAGAGGACTGGGAGCCTTCATGAGGGGTTTAGGGTGACAAGGGGAGTTTCTGGGGTCCCCATCCCCAGGGTTCATTCCCCTGGGCTCACCGCCCCACTTCTGCTGGCGAAAATGGATTGAGAGATGCAAGTTTGAGGGGTTTGGGTAGACTAATCTTTCTCCCCACACCCCCACTCTCTAGTTTAATATTCCTGGCCCGCCTCGAGGGCTTGCAGCCAGGCAACCGGGTGACTTGGGAGTGTGGGGGAGGGGGAACCATCCTAGACCCCCCACCCCCACATCCCCTCTGGATTCTCTCCATCCTGGCGTCCATAGTCACTCTGTCCCAATTGTCAAATGAGGAAACAGGCCTAGAAAGGGGCAGACATAGGACCCAAATCATATACTGCCAGAAAAAGGAACCCCCCAACCTGAGGGTCTTTGCTCTTTGCTTGCCCCACCCCCCACTGTTTCCCAAGATACCCCTCCCCACCCCAGAGGCCCTGAGTCTGCTGAAAAGGCCACGAGGTCGGGAGGAGGGGAGCCCTGGGTCCCCTTACGCAGTAACCTGACCCTCTGGCCAGATGGACACTTTGTGCTGAGGCAGCGCCTTGCGGGAGGCTGGAGAGGGGCACGCGGGCAGCTGCTGCCCAGGCCCAGCCTTGTAGGGCCCTTGGCCCCCCTCCTCGATCTATTTTCACTCCCCGACTTTCCCAAGTGGAGGGGGCAGGACACCTGGGTTCCCAAAAGAGAAAATGATCTGGGCTGGAGTGGGTAAACTGGGGAGCGGCGGGCCAGGGGTAGGGAGGACACCATGAGGTCATTGGACCCTGCTCAGCATTTGCCAGTAATACAATTGCCATGCCAATGGTAGGACTCTAGGAAAGGTCAGGGAAGAGAGGTGGATCTGAGAATTCCAGGACTTAGAATCAGAGCACTTCCGCTGGGTTAGAGACAGGAGATGACCCCCAGGGCCAGGAGGCTTAGCTGACTCGGCTGGGGTGCCCCCGGTGACGCGCCTCCCCGCAGGCTCCTCCTGCACCTGTCTCCAAGCAGGGCTGCGGTCCTCTGGTCCAGCAGTCTCCCGGTGATGTCATCCCTGCCCCTGCCTCCAGCTGCCATCTGTTCTGCAACCACTCCTCTGCCCAGTCCCACCCACCCAGGCCTCTCCCAGATCCAGGTCCACATGCCCCGCTTAAGACACAGGCTACTCTGTAACTTGCTTTCATCACTTAAAAAGATATCCGTAATATCTTTCCAACCCAATTTAAAGCCACCCACCTCATCTATTCATTCAACAGCCGCACAGCGTAGATGCTCTGTAAATTAATCAGCATCCCCTGGAGTTGGACATTCTGGTCATTTTTTTCTCGTGTTTATTACAATGTAATGAACATCTCTGCACTCGGCTTTAGCCCCACCCCTTCCCCGCTCCTCCTCCATGTCTTGGAGCACTCCCACCTCCTCCCGCTTGATGCCTGAGTCCTCTTCATTCAACCTCCAAAACATTCATTCAGTATTTTTTTAGGAGGTCCTACTATGTGCCAGGCACTGTTTTAGGTCCCAGGAATTCAGCACGGGGCAAAATAAAGCCCCTGAGTCAGGGAGCTTATATTCCAGCCAGGAGCAAATGTTTCTATCTCATCCAGCTGGTCCTGCCCCGTTCCCCTCACTGGCCCCCTCCCTCTCTCACGCTGGTCCCAGGCGCCAACTCCTCACTTCTCCCTTCTGCTCTGCCAAGCCGTTTGTCTCCCCTCTGCAACCAGGATGAGCTTTCTACAACACAGTTCTGCCCACCTTTCTCCTCTGTCTGAAAGCTTTCAGGATCCCGAGGGAATGAGCTTTCCTCACTCCCTGTTGCCCTCGGGATCAAGTTCAAACTCCCTGGCTTAGCACCCAAGATGGTGCATGACCTGGCCCCTGCCGCCCCTCCGGCCTGCCTCTCACCAGTCACACCCCAACACCCCCAGCTTCATTCCGGCAGTGCCCAGCGAGCTGTAGCTCCACAGTCCTAGCAACTGTTTCTCGCCGCTAACACTCGTCCGCGTGGCTGTCGCTGCCTGGAATGCCCTTGCCTGCCCTTCTCTGCCTGAGTGACTCCTGTCCTTCCATCACGGCGCTGATCAAATATTAGCCTTCGCCAAGACGTCCCCCACCTGATTTGGAGAACTCCGCCCCTTGACTCCTCAACACTAGTCTTTCCCAGCACTTTTCAGATGAACATGACTCTTTGATTGACTGTGACCTCCTTTAGGGCCGGGACCCCGTCTCATTAAATGTCATGTTTGACAAATGAAATAATGTCCCTTCCTCTGCCATGGAGGCCCCACCCAGACCTGCCTTTCCCCTGCCCCATCCAGACCCAGAGCATCTCCGACTCCAGGGTTGGAAGGAACTACAGAGAATCCAACTGCTCTCTCCTGCGTGGGGCCCCATCAGTTAGTGCTCAGCACCCACTTACACACCACTGGTGATAGGAAGCTCACTCCCTTCCCTGAGCAGTGACAGCCTCTCAACTATTTAAAGCATCACCTTCCATGTCCAGCTCCTAGGGCATCTTAAAAGCTGATCTGTGGAAAGGAAGCTGGCTGAAGGAAATAATTCCAAATTACTTTCAGGGCCACCTCCCCGGAGTATCTGCTTTGCAGTGGGGGAATGCTCTGAATGCTAGAATCCTGCCAGGTCGGAGGAAGAAGGAGCTGAGACGTCATGGCGTCTGACCCCTTAATTGTACAACTGGGGAGACTGAGCTCAAGAGAGGGCAAGGGGCACACCCAAGGTCACAGAGAGGGAGTAGCTCAGCTGGGTTAGGGCCCAAGTATGAATTCTCCAAGGGCTCTACAGCCGATGGCAGAATCCAGGGCCTGGAAGCTTGGGAGGTTGGTGGAATCTTGTGCACCAGGCTCCGGGTCATGCCCATCCCCAAAAGACAAACAGCTGTATACCAGCCCTCCCGTCCCAGATGGAGGCTGAGGCTGAGGCTGATTCTGGGGAGAGAGGAAAGGCAGTCACCTCCAGAAACCAGGTCAGGCCGGGCCTGATCCTCCACGGCCTGCAAAGCTCTCACACCCGCATAGTCTACTTGGAGGCCGGTTCACAGCAGCCCTGGGAGGCCCGTGAGATAATAACACAGGGGCACAGTGCTTTGGGCAAAACCCTCAGAGCCAAATGTGCTTCAACCCAGAGTTTTTCAGATTTTAGAACGGCCATTTCAGCCTGCATTAGCCCTTGTGCCTCAAAGGGTCCAACACTTTGGAGTGTCTGCTTTACCATTTTCGAAGTCCCCCTCCAGTGCTTGAGACTGGCTGAAGCTGGAGTCCTGGCGGCAGGTGCCCCTCATCCAAACTGGGACCTGCATGGGCCCCAGACCCCATTTCTCCTCTTCCAGGAGGACTAGAGCTCAGGGAGGGAAAGGGCCTGGCCCCAGATGCACAGCCAGCCCCGGGACTTGAATCCCGGCCTTCGGGCTCTGAGACCTACCTTGACCGAGAGGCCTGAACACTGTCCTCAGCCTAGGGTCTAAGCATTCTCTGCCCCCAGACCTTCACTGCCTGGTGCAACTCACACCTGCGCAAGGCCGGCACCCAGATCGAGAACATCGAGGAGGATTTCCGCAATGGCCTCAAACTCATGTTGCTCCTGGAGGTCATTTCAGGTGAGGGGTGCAAATCAGAGCACAGGGACCCCAGGACCTAGAGGAGTCCAGAGGGCTGGGGAAATATGGCAGCAGAGCGCTGGAAGGGGACTTGGTGGGGGAGGGGGAAGTTTGAGGACAATGTCTTCAGCTTCCTCTCATGACCTTTGACCCCTTGACCTCTCCTCTTACACCCAGGAGAGAGGCTGCCCAGGCCAGACAAAGGCAAGATGCGCTTCCACAAAATCGCCAATGTCAACAAGGCCCTGGACTTCATTGCCAGCAAGGGGGTTAAGCTGGTGTCCATCGGTGCTGAAGGTGAGGAGGTGGTAGGAGGAGGCCTGGTCAGGGGGTGGGGGGAATTCCTGACATCAACAAGTCACCTCCATGGGGATAACCACCCATGCCTCACAGGAGGGAGTGTAGGGACCAAATGTACCCAAAGTGCCGACACAGGACCTGACACCTAGTAGATGTTGAGTGAATCTTTTTTTTTCCCTGAGGAAAATTAGCCCTGAGCTAACGTCTGTGCCAGTCTTCCTCTACTTTATATGTGGGTCACCATCACAGCATGGCTGACAAGTGGTGTAGGTCCATGCCTGGGATCTGAACCCGTGAAGCTGGACTGCCAAAGCGGAGTGCACCAAACTTAACCACTACACCACGGGGCTGGCCCCTTGATGAATCATTTTAAGTAAAAAGATTGAGCAACTACTAGGCGCCAGCCCAGGGATGGGGGATAAGGGCCAGAGGGTGGAGCAGGGCGGAAGGTAGCTGAGGCCTGGTAGTACAGACCTTGAACGCCAGGTGGAATCTGTCCTCACCCTCTGGCCTGCAGAGATCGTCGACGGGAACCTGAAGATGACCTTGGGCATGATCTGGACCATCATCCTTCGCTTTGCCATCCAGGACATCTCTGTGGAGGGTGAGCAGTGGGGAAGCAGGTAGAGTGAGAGGGCTGGCCCAGACCCCGCCCCAACCAACGCTCCCCCCATCTCCACCCAGAAACCTCGGCCAAGGAGGGCTTGCTCCTGTGGTGCCAGCGGAAGACGGCGCCGTACCGCAATGTCAACGTGCAGAACTTCCACACCAGGTCTGTCAGCTGATCAGCGCATGCGCACGGGCCTCTGCCGGGCCCTAGGGCCCCTGTCACAAGCCACAGGGGAGGAGAGGTCACCACCAAGTTCCCAGAACAGTGACTGGAAATAGGAGGACTGAGTCAATGTTGAACTGAATCCAGGAGGGTGAGAGAGAATCCATGAGGAGGGAGGAGGGGAGACATCCCTGGAAGGGCATTCCAGCCAGGGGGAACCTCCTGAGCAAAGACTTGGAGGCCAAACACATCTAGAAATTGGTGTGGCCCAAGCCTAGGGGAGGTGAAGGAATTGTGATGAGCTCGGGGGGGATGGCGCAAGTCTGGTAATGAAGGGCCTCACATGCCAAGCTGAGGAGTCTGGACTTTACCCCCCTGTACACATGACATTGTCTTGATGGGGGTGCTCCTGCGAGGAGGGCAGAAGAGGGCCCCAGCTTGAACCTGGGCTGACCTCCCTCCTCTCTGCCCAGCTGGAAGGATGGCCTGGCCCTCTGTGCTCTCATCCACCGACACCGCCCTGACCTCATCGACTACGCCAAACTGCGCAAGGTAGGCCTCCGCCGCCCCCAGCCCCAACACCCCAACCTCTGCCCTCAGCTGACCTTTCACCTCTCCTCCTCACACCCATCTAGGATGACCCCATTGGCAACCTGAACACTGCCTTCGAGGTGGCGGAGAAATACCTGGACATCCCCAAGATGTTGGATGCGGAAGGTGAGAGGAAGCCCAGCCCGGGCGAGGACTCCACTTACCCGTCTGCAGGGTCCAACCGCCACACCTGGAATGCTCCTCCTGGAACGCTCCGCCCCTCACCCCACTCCCTGGTCAGAATCCTTCCTGCCACAGGCCCCTGTCTCCAGGCCCCCTCTCTCTCATCCCCCTGCCCCTCTCCACCCAGAGGAAGCAGCCTCCCTGCCTCTCCCCTTACCTAATGGCTCCACCCTCTGGGAGCATATTGGTCCCTCAAGATTGGGAGCTCCTCTGGGAAAGATGCTGCCTCTGGCCCCTTTGCCCAAACAGGGTGTTTAGTCAATTGAGGGAGCAAACACTTTCTGAGCGCCTCCTGTGCCTGGGGTGTGTGGGCACTGATGGACGAGAACTTGGTCTGGCGTCTGAGGAGTTCGTGGACTTGGGGAAGAAACAGACAGACAGATGGAGTCATGGGAGGGTTAGCGACATCAGGCAGTGTGGACTGGTACCTCATGAGGGCCACAGTGTCCGCTCATGCACCCACTCCCTCGTGCTTTCCTCACCACACAGAGGGGGAGGTTGCTGGGCCCTGGGATGACCAGAGGGCTTCAGGGAAGAAGACACTGGGTTTGGGGTAGCTGGAAGCTAGTGGCTGTGACTAAATGTCTCTGCCCCCTTCTGTCCCAGGGGAGCTCTTTGCCTGGGTGGGGGCATGAGTCCATTCCCCAGCCCTGGCTTTGGCTAATGAACACCTCACTGCCATCCCCCAGACATCGTGAACACCCCAAAGCCCGATGAGAAGGCCATCATGACCTACGTTTCCTGCTTCTACCATGCCTTCGCCGGGGCCGAGCAGGTAAAGGCACTCATCTGCTGGGCTGGGCTCGTGCACCCAGGGGCCCAACCTGGGCCGCATCCCGACAGTTGGAGGTGCCAGGCCCCACGTGGATGGGAGTGCTACGGCCCCACCTGCACATCCTCGGTCCTTGGGGAGCTCAGGAGCGGAGGCGTCTGGCCTCGAAGCTCCGTCCTCATCCTAAAAGATGTGCTCCCCTCATCCCTTCCCCGCTTTGCATGGGTCCAGGTTTTAAGGGCATCACACAGGGAGGCTGGGTTGGGGTGTCTGCGGCAGCTTGTTCTAACGCCAGCCCTTCTGCCCACTCCCACCGCAGGCGGAGACAGCTGCCAACAGGATCTGCAAAGTGCTGGCGGTGAACCAGGAAAACGAGAAGCTGATGGAGGAGTACGAGAAGCTTGCCAGTGAGGTGAGATGGGCCAGAGGGCCTTTCCCCTTCCCCGACCTGGGCTCTCCCAGGCCCGGCTAACCGCAGGTCTGCAGAGCGCCCCCCCTCCTCAGAGCAGCCTTGGCCTTCCCCAGCCTTCTCCTGCCATCTTCACCCATCTCTTGCCCCTTTCTGCCCATCCAAGCTCCTGGTCATTCAGTGATTCACTCATCATTCATTCATTTATCCATTCACTCATATTTAGGCAGTCTCGTGGCCCTTTGCTCTGTGCCGACCTCTACTGGTCCCTGGACTCAGAAATTAACGATCCTATTCCTTCCCTGACTAGTGGGGACCCCCCCCCATTCTGTCCTCCAGTACCCCCCCTCCCCCTCTGCTTGAGGCCCAGCCTTTTGGCCACAGGCTGGGTGTGGGTGGAGATGGGTGGATGAGGTGAGCAGGCCAGCTCAGAGCTCTCTGCTCTCCCCCTGCCTGGCCCTGGCAGCTGCTGGAATGGATCCGCCGCACCATACCGTGGCTGGAGAACCGTGTGGGCGAGCCCAGCATGAGTGCCATGCAGCGCAAGCTGGAGGACTTTCGGGACTACCGGCGCCTGCACAAGCCACCCCGCGTGCAGGAGAAGTGCCAGCTGGAGATCAACTTCAACACGCTGCAGACCAAGCTGCGGCTGAGCCACCGGCCAGCCTTCATGCCCTCTGAGGGCAAGCTGGTCTCGGTGAGCCAGGCTGGGGATGGGGGTGACTCCAGCTCTGCCGATGTTCCCTGGGTGACCTTGGGCTCTGTGTCCCCGTCTGTACAATGGGTGAACCGTGATGGAGGGCACCTCTGCCTGTCCCACAGGACATCGCCAACGCATGGCGGGGGCTGGAGCAAGTGGAGAAGGGCTATGAGGACTGGCTGCTCTCGGAGATCCGGCGCCTGCAGCGGCTCCAGCACCTGGCTGAGAAGTTCCAGCAGAAGGCCTCCCTGCATGAGGCCTGGACCCGGGGTAGGTACCTCTCATGGGGCTGGATTCTGTCCTGGGGTGAAGACTGGGAGGAGGGGGTGGTCCTGGCAAAATGCACAGGTCAGGGCTAGGTGTTCTGCCAGTTAGCTAGAGACCCATTTTCTAGTCCCACCCGGACTTGCCGCGCAACCAGGTCACTGGCCGTCTTTGGGCCACAGTGTCTTTATCGTAAACTCAGGCCCCTAATCTCTCCTGGCTCTGGCCTTCGGCAAGTCTACTCTGATTAATTTGTCATTTAGCGTTTTGTTTGTATGCATAGCAGGTGTCCAAAGGTGAGTCTCCAACACTCAAAGTTTGACTCAAAGTTTACCGATGCCAAAATATTGCGTGAGTCAAATATAGCATGCTGTATGAAAACACTCATTCTGTATCTCATCAGGGGTTTTAATCCTACAAATGAATGAGTCCTGCCTAAAAATACTAACAACCATTAATAATGGATTATGGGCATAATGAGTATCAATGGTTTGATATAACAATTCTTTACATATACAGCCACTGATGGGACCCTGTGGAGGTCTCTGAGCCTCTAAAACTCAGTTACTGTCTCTGCATAATGCGGAGGCACTCAACAAATGGTCGTTGTGCAATTATTATAATTATGGGTTTTATTTGCATAATTATGGTAATTGTTATTCTCAAAACACTTTTACATTCATCATTGATTCATCCAACAAATAGTCATTGAAGGTTTACTAAGTACCAGGCACCGTGCCAGGCGCTGGGGACACTGGTGAGCAAGGGAAACCGGCTCAGGGGCTCATGGGGCTCATGGAGTCGTGGGGAGGCAGTTACCAAAACTGTCCGAAGGACCACCCTGAGCGTGGAGGGGATGCTGACGTCATTTATGGGCCATGCCCTGGAACGGCAGCTTCACTTAACTTTATCACACTAGCGCCTCAGGCCAAATCCCTAGGGTAGACTGGGCAGGTGTGGGCACCTGCATTTCACAGAGGAGGAATTTCCGTGGTCACACAGCCCGGCTCGAACCCCCTGCTCCTGCGGCGGCCGCCGCTGCGTGACCAGAGCCGGGCCTCTCTCCGAGCAGGGAAGGAGGAGATGCTGAGCCAGCGCGACTACGAGTCCGCGTCGCTACAGGAGGTGCGGGCGTTGCTGCGGCGCCACGAGGCCTTTGAGAGCGACCTGGCGGCGCACCAGGACCGCGTGGAGCACATCGCGGCGCTGGCCCAGGAGCTCAAGTAGGCGTGACCCACTACCGGGCCCGCCCCCAGCGACAACGCCCCTCCCTGGCCCCGCCCCTCGGCGTCAATCCCCGCCTCACTCCCATGCCCTCAAGAGACTTCCTTCTCCCCGGTTTGGTAACCCTGCCTTGGTACCCAGGTCGTTCCCCATCATCACTTGTCCCGCGCCCCTCCTCCCGTAACCCTGTCTCCATCTCCCGACCCCGCTCTGCTACGCATACTCTTCCCCACCGGCGCTGGGCCTGTCCCACCTCCGTGGCCTGCCCGCTCCCTTCAGCTCCAGGCCAGGTCTACTCCCCCAAATTCTCTCCATCAGCCTTGGCCTCGCCACCTCCTCCTGTAAACCCGCCCTTTTTTGCATAACCCGGCCCCCAAAACTCAAAGCCCCGCCCCTCCCTCCAAGCTCCTTGAGGGATTGGAGTTGAGGACCAGTGGGGGGCTCCCCTTCCTCCGAGGAACTCGCTGGGACCCCTCCTCCCCAGGAAAGCTCTGCTTAACCCCTATCTACCCTGGCTGTCTCATGCCTTCATCACCACCCCGGGAGGGCAGGCAAGGAGGAAATCTGGGCTGGGGTCTGGCCCACAGTCACCCTGCTTCTCGCTCCCAGTGAACTGGACTACCACGAGGCAGCGTCGGTGAACAGCCGCTGCCAGGCTATCTGCGACCAGTGGGACAACCTGGGCACGCTGACCCAGAAGAGGCGGGATGCGCTTGAGGTGAGGCTGGGGGCCAGGAGCTGGGGGCTGGGGACTGTAGGTGGGTGAGGGGGGCCCACTGGGCAGGCTGCTGACTCACCATCCCCACCACCCCTAGAGGATGGAGAAGCTCCTGGAAACCATCGAGCAGCTGCAGCTGGAGTTTGCCCGGCGGGCAGCACCCTTCAACAACTGGCTGGATGGCGCTGTGGAGGACCTCCAGGACGTGTGGCTGGTGCACTCGGTGCAGGAGACCCAGGTGGCCGCGGGGGTTCCAGGTGTGGGGGGACTGGATGGGATGACAGGGAAGCTGGCCTAAAATCCTATCAGCCACTCCTGTGGGCTCCTGAGGAATGGGGACGGGAGGAAAGCGCCAGTTCTTGAGTGCTGGGCTGGGAGACAAAGAGGCCTGGGTTCTTAAGCCAGCCCCGCCCTGGACCAGCTGCGTGGCCTGGAGCACGTCGCTGCCCTTTCTGTTGCCTGTGGGAAGTGTGGGGGCACTGGCTGATGCTTCCTGCCTGTTGCCCCGCAGAGCCTGCTGACAGCACATGAGCAGTTCAAGGCAACGCTGCCCGAGGCTGACCGAGAGCGAGGCGCCATCCTGGGCATCCAGGCTGAGATCCAGAAGATCTGCCAGACGTACGGGCTGCGGCCCAGCACCACCAACCCCTACATCAACCTCAGCCCGCAGGACATCAACACCAAGTGGGACACGGTCAGTGCCGCCTGCGGCCTTCCCTGCCTCCCAGCCACTCCTGTGCATTCTAGCCACCCTGAAACCTCAGGTGTCCCCAGATGTGGAGAATCACGTCCACCTTCGGATCTGGAGTCTGCCACAGCCTCCACGTGGCGTCAGACAAGTCTCCTTGCCTGTCTTGGCCTCATCTGTAAAATGGCCGTAACAGCAGCATTTTCCTATCAGGCCTCACGTGAAGTAGAATTAAATCTGGTGTGTGGACATCCTTTACAAAACAGCCTAAATTAGTCGTAAATGGTGCACTGACCCCCTCTCACAGATGAGGAAACGAGCCTAGAGAGGTTGAATAACTTGCCCAGGAGCTTGTCCATATAGCCCAGACAATGCGGCTCAGAGCAGCAGGTTCGAGGCACTGGAGCCCATCTCCCCTGAGAGCCATCTCCTGGCCCCCAGAGCTGCCCCTGGCACAACCACCCTCCTTCGC